TTAGCTTCGGTTTGCTTCCCTTAGCTTCACTTCGCTTCGCTTAGCTTCGCTTCGCTTCGCATAGCTGCGCTTAGCTTTGTTTTTCTTCTCTTAGCTTCGCTTGGCTTCGCTTCACTTCGCTTAGCTTCGCTTTGCCTCTCTTCGCTTCTCTTCGCTTCGCTTTGCTTAGCATCGCTTAGCTCCACTTCGCTTCGCTTAGCTTTGCTTAACTTCGCTTTGCTTCTCTTAGCTTCGCTTTGCTTAGCTTCGCTTCGCTTCGCTTAGCTTCCCTTCGCTTCGCTTAGCTTCGTTTAGCTTCGCTTGGCTTTGCTTCGCTTCTCTTCGCTTCGCTTCGCTTAGCTTTTCTTAGCATTGCTTCGCTTTGCTATGCTTCGCTTAGCTTCGCTTAGATTCGCTTCGCTTTGCTTCGCTTCGCTTAGCTTCGCTTCGCTTCGCTTCGCTTCGCTTAGCTTCGCTTCCCTTAGCTTCGGTTTGCTTCCCTTAGCTTCACTTCGCTTCGCTTAGCTTCGCTTCGCTTCGCATAGCTGCGCTTAGCTTTGTTTTGCTTCTCTTAGCTTCGCTTCTCTTCGCTACGCTTCTCTTTGCTTCTCTTCACTTCGCTTCGCTTAGCTTCGCTTAGCTTCGCTTCGCTTCGCTTAGCTTCGCTTAACTTCGCTTTGCTTCGCTTAGCTTCACTTTGCTTAGCTTTGCTTCGCTTCGCTTCGCTTCGCTTCGCTTAGCTTCGTTTGGCTTCGCTTGGCTTTGCTTTGCTTCTCCTCGCTTAGCTTCGCTTGGCTTCGCTTCGCTTCTCTTCGCTTCGCTTCGCTTAGCAACGCTTAGCTTCGCTTAGCTTCGCTTAGCTTCGCTTAGCTTCGCTTCGCTTAGCTTTGCTTTGCCTCTCTTCGTTTCTCTTTGCTTCGTTTCGCTTAGCTTCGCAAAGCTTCGCTTCGTGTCGCTTTGCTTCAATTCGCTTCGCTTCGCTTAGCTTTGCTTCGCTTCGCTTCTCTTAGCTTCGCTTAGCTACGCTTCGCTTAGCTTCGCTTTGCCTCTCTTCGCTTCTCTTCGCTTCGCTTTGCTTAGCATCGCTTAGCTTTGCTTCGCTTCGCTTAGCTTCACTTAGCTTCGCTTAGCTTCGTTTAGCTTTGCTTAACTTCGCTTTGCTTCTCTTAGCTTCGCTTTGCTTAGCTTCACTTCACTTCACTTAGCTTCCCTTCGCTTCGCTTAGCTTCGTTTAGCTTCGCTTGGCTTTGCTTCGCTTCTCTTCGCTTAGCTTCGCTTAGCTTTTCTTAGCATTGCTTCGCTTCACTTTGCTTCGCTTAGCTTCGCTTAGATTTGCTTCGCTTCGCTTAGCTTCGCTTCGCTTCTCTTAGCTTTGCTTTGCTTCGTTTAGCTTCGCTTCCCTTAGCTTCGGTTTGCTTCCCTTAGCTTCACTTCGCTTCGCATAGCTGCGCTTAGCTTCGTTTTGCTTCTCTTAGGTTCGCTTCTCTTCGCTACGGTTCTCTTTGCTTCTCTTCACTTCGCTTCGCTTAGCTTCGCTTTGCTTCGCTTCGCTTCGCTTAGCTTCGCTTAGCTTCGCTTAACTTCGCTTTGCTTCGCTTAGCTTCACTTTGCTTAGCTTCGCTTCGCTTCGCTTAGCTACGTTTGGCTTCGCTTGGCTTTGCTTCGCTTCTCCTCGCTTAGCTTCGCTTGGCTTCGCTTCATTTCTCTTCGCTTCGCTTCGCTTAGCTTTGCTTAGCTTCGCTTCGCTTAGCTTTGCTTTGCCTCTCTGCGTTTCTCTTTGCTTCATTTCGCTTAGCTTCGCATAGCTTAGCTTCGCTTGGCTTTGCTTCGCTTCTCTTCGCTTAGCTTCGCTTAGCTTTTCTTAGCATTCCTTCGCTTCACTTTGCTTCGCTTAGCTTCGCTTAGATTCGCTTCGCTTTGCTTCGCTTCGCTTAGCTTCGCTTCGCTTCGCTTCGCTTCGCTTAGCTTCGCTTAGCTTCGATTCCCTTAGCTTCGGTTTGCTTCCCTTAGCTTCACTTCGCTTCGCTTAGCTTCGCTTCGCTTCGCATAGCTGCGCTTAGCTTCGTTTTGCTTCTCTTAGCTTTGCTTCTCTTCGCTACGCTTCTCTTTGCTTCTCTTCGCTTAGCTTCGCTTAGTTTCGCATTGCTTCGCTTAGCTTCGCTTAGCTTCGCTTTACTTTGCCTTGCTTCGCTTAGCTTCGCTTTGCTTTGCTTAGCTTCGCTTAGCTTCGCTTCTCTTAGCTTCACTTCGCTTCGCTTCTCTTCGCTTAGCTTCGCTTCGCTTCGCTTAGCTTCGCTTAGCTTCACTTCGCTTAGCTTAGATTCGCTTTGCTTTCCTTCGCTTAGCTTCGCTGTGCTTCTCTTAGCTTCGCTTCTCTTCGCTTCGCTTCTCTATGCTTCTCTTCGCTTTGCTTCGCTTCGCTTAGCTTCGCTTTGCTTCACTTAGCTTCGCTTCGCTTCGCTTCGCTTCTCTGCGCTTTGCTTAGCTTCGCTTTGCTTCGCTTCACTTCGCTTCGCTTTGCTTAGCTTCGCTTCGCTTCCCTTAGCTTCGCTTCGCTTCCCTTAGCTTCGCTTAGCTTTGCTTAGCTTCGCTTCGCTTCGCATAGCTGCGCTTAGCTTTGCTTTGCTTCGCTTAGCTTCGCTTCTCTTCGCTTCGCTTCTCTTTGCTTCTCTTTGCTTCGCTTTGCCTTGCTTCGCTTAGCTTCGCTTAGATTCGCTTTGCTTCGCTTCCCTTACCTTCGCTTCACTTCGCTTAGCTTTGCTTAGCTTTGCTTCGCTTCTCTTCGCTTCGCTTCGCTTCCCTTAGCTTTGCTTAGCTTCGCCTTGCTTCGCTTAGCTTCGCTTCGCTTCGCTTTCCTGCTCTTAGCTTTGCTTAGCTCCGCTTCGCTTCGCTTTGCTTCGCTTAGCTTCACTTCGCTTCGCTTAGCTTCGCTTCTCTTAGCTTCACTTCGCTTCGCTTCTCTTCGCTTAGCTTTGCTTCGCTTCGCTTCGCTTCGCTTAGCTTCGCTTCGCTTCCCTTAGATTCGCTTCGCTTCTTTTAGCTTCGCTTCGCTTCGCTTAGCTTCACTTCGCTTTGCATAACTGCGCTTAGCTTTGCTTTGCTTCTCTTAGATTCGCTTCTCTTCGCTTCACTTCGCTTTGCTTTTCTTTGCTTCGCTTCGCTTAGCTTCGCTTCGCTTCTCTTCGCTTCACTTCGCTTCGCTTCGCTTCGCTTAGCTTCGCTTTGCTTCGCTTCGCTTCGCTTAGCTTCGCTTCGCTTCCCTTAGCTTCGGTTCGCTTCCCTTAGCTTCACTTAGCTTCGCTTCGCTTCGCATAGCTGCGCGTAGCTTTGCTTTGCTTCTCTTAGCTTCCCTTCTCTTTGCTTCTCTTTGCTTCGCTTAGCTTCACTTCACTTCCCTCAGCTTCGCTTAACTTCGCTTTGCTTCTCTTAGCTTCGCTCGCTTCACCTCGCGGACCGCTTCCTGCTTTCTCTTGCGGGTCGCTTCCCACTTTCCCACGTTGTAACGTGTTACCCGCTTTTTCGCGCGCCGCAGTCCCCTGCCTTCTCATTGAATGAAAACAGATCAAGGGTCAAGGCGCAGCAGCAGGGAAGAAAGCGAGGCCGCAGGGATGGGGAAGACAACAGATAGTAGCGAGGGGGAGATGCGAGAAGCGAGGGAGAGGGGCACATGAGCATGAGCTAATGCGCCATTGGGGTTGAAGGCATTTGTTGGTACTTGACGTATCAATCAAACTAATGATTCACATGTGTCCTCACGATGCTTGTCTTTATCGCAGCTAGCTATGTAACTCTGTCCAACATCGAGATAATTCCCCATGTAAGTCCAATTGTAAGTCTCGCTGGTCATTTGATCGTCGGACTAATTTCACAACAATGTCTCGTATGACATGCAGAAATTTGTAGCCTACCACGAGCTATTTCCTTCGGTAAGCCGGGTTTTGTAATTGCTGTCGTATGGAAACTAATTTGATTACAATGTTTGAATCTAATGTGCAGGACTCAATATCCAGCGTCGCGCTACTTCGTTGTTGTAAGCATTGTCCTAATTGTTGGTGATTTCGACCTTGGATTAATTTCGAGATAACAAGTTATGAACGTAACGTGCAGGAATAATTTGCTTGTTGCATTATAAGTAAATCCAAACGAGGCATGCCCTAATGTACTGAACCATGCCCAAAAGGGTACTGTAGCCTGCAAAAACGGATCCATAAAAAACACCGCCAAACGTTTGCAACAAATCATGCTGAATACTAAAAATGATTAACATAAACTTCTCTATGCATTTACATGTTCACCGCAGAAGTTGTAGAAAGAACACCGCCATGCATTTGTAAACTGTTAGGATTAAGGACGGAGTCTAGGTGAACTTAGGAGCTAGAATTACTCAAAATATAAATCCGAAATTCTGGACAGAAAAGTCGTCTTCACAAGAAACGACGTCGACAAACAACTAGCCGTTGGAATGTCGCGAAACTTGGATATGTTGTAGCTCTTAATCTCAGCTACCGTTCCCAATTTGAATCATGTTGATTGATAAAGTATTCGCGACGCTATGGCTTTCGACGCACTAGGGGGTAAGCTGTAGGAGGAGAACTTAACTCAATCTCAAAGGTTCAATCAAAGTTCAAGAATCTCACAAGGAATTAGAAGGAGCAAGAGAAAGGTTGGGATAGGAAGAGAGGGATGAGAGGGAAGGTCCCAAGAGAGTCCCCAACCAAGGAAAACCCCATAAGCACAAAGATTCCCTCCCTATAGGAACCCCAACTTTGACATTTGTCCCTTCCCAACCAATCCATCCAAGTTGGCCACCCTTGCCAACCTAGCTTGGTTGTTCCCAACCAATTTGCAGCTGTTACAGTAGAGTGACAAGTTTCCCCAACCCCAAAGGTCCCAACTCCATATAAAGTCACCCCACAACTTCACTTAGTAACCGCCGCAATTGTAACGCAAGCTCATGAACTTTGAATCTTCATAGCTTTCGCGTTCTTGCTCCGATTGAAGCGATTCTTGTTGCGTCGGAAAGATCTTCTCAAGATCTATTATCACAAATACCTGCTCAGACAGAATAACACAAAACACATTCCCAAACTCCAGAACACACCACACACAAATGCTTGCACATTCAAACCACACATGCAAGTTGAAAACACATGGGATGGGAGGCAGACAGAATGTGATAGCATATGATGACATCACACAACAATCTCCCCCTCTGGCTGCCAACCATCATCGACCATACCACATCTCAAGCATGCATACTCAATGCACACTCATCCCAGCAAGCTTCATGCCCTTCCAATGATCCGCCTCCGCCAGACGCTTAGTGAAAATATCTGCTGCCTGCTGATGGGTCTTCACTATCTCCAGCCGCACCTCCTTATCAAGGAGTCTCCTCACCCAATGCCACTTAGGCCTTATGTGTTTTGTCAGCCCATGCAGACAAGCATTCTTGGCGAGCTTCACAGCGGACTCATTGTCACAAAACACAACTGTCGGCTTCTCCTGACCAACTCCCAACTCCTCCAACAAACGCCTCAGCCATACCACTTCCTTGGCCCCATGGTGTAAGGCCATGTACTCAGTCTCACATGAAGACAATCCCACCTCATTTTGCTTCTTGCTGCGCCAGCTCACAGCACCACCTCCTAGCAAGCACACATAACCCCCAATGCTGGTGCCATCCGCTTTCACTGAGTTGAAGCTAGCGTCAGTATAGCAACTCAAGAGCATCTCTCCACTCTTCACATCTGCAGCACCTCTCTGCAACCGCTGCCTCACTCCACTGTACTCCAATCCCACTGATGCCGTAGCGCTCACATAGCGGACCAACCTCTTGGCCGCTTCCAGCTGCTCATGACTAGGGCGTGAGACCACACTAGCCAATCGTGATGTAGCAAATGCAATGTCAGGCCGTGTATGATTTGCAGCATAATTCAGCGACCCAACCATCGAATGAAACAGCTTCCTGTCACTATCACCCACTACCTCCTCATCAGCACATGGCTCCACAGTAAACCCTGAAGGTAGTGGTGTTGCTGGCTTTCCCCCATCTTGCAGCCCATACTTCTCAGCCAGCCCCTCACAGTACTTCCTCTGGTGCAACCTCAGCACACCCTTTTCCACATCTCTCTCCACGTGCATCCCCAAGTAGTACTTCACCTCACCCATCTTGGAGCACTTGAACTGCATCTCCAGCATCTGCTCTGCGCTGTCCAGCAAAGCAGTTGATGCAGAAAAGAGAAGGATATCATCCACATACACCAAGAGCATGAGGATTTCATCCTTCTCCTGCAGCAGGAACAGGCTGGGGTCACACTCACTCTTCTTGAAACCCCCAGCCAACAGCGCCTCCTCCAACTTGTGATACCATGCACGAGGCGCCTGCTTAAGGCCATAGATGGCCTTCTTCAGCCTGCAGACCCTGCCGCTCCCGTCATCCAGCCCCTCTGGCTGCTTCATGTACACCTCCTCCATAATGATCCCATTCAGAAAAGCAGTCACAATGTCCATCTGCCGTATCTTCCATCCCAGGAGTGCAGCTATCGCTAACAGCACCCTCAGTGTTGTTCCTTTCCCCACAGGAGCAAACACCTCATCATAGTCCTTCCCTTTTGTCTGCTGAAACCCCCGTGCCACAAGCCTAGACTTGTAGCGGGTCAGCTCCCCTTCAGGTCCATACTTGTGCCTGTAGATCATCTTGGAAGTGATTGCCTTCTTCCCAGGAGGCAAGTCACACAGGTCCCATGTCTCGTTTTCAATCAGGGACCCGAACTCCTCATCCTCACTCGCCTTCCACTTCTCCCCATTTGGTCCATTCAAGGCCTCCTCTCGAGTCTTGGGCTCAGGGATTGGTGCCCAGTAGCAGTGAGCGATCTCATCTTCCTCAATCTGCTCAACCACACTCCCAGCCTGCACCACATTTGGCTTGCCTCTTCCCCCATAGGTCAGCCTCACCGGAGGGCGCACATCCCTCCTAGGTCGCTCAGGCGGGTGTGGAACTCGAGGTGGAGACTCATGCTGCTGCTGCTGCTGCTCTACTTCAGCTGCTCCCCCTTCCTCAGTCACCCCAGACATCTCCTCCTCTGACACTGCAACCTCCACCTGTCTTGAAGGGTGCTGCACCTCATCTGCCTCCACAATGAGCGGTGTAGATGGAAGCTTCTGTTGCTGCTGCTTCCATTCCTTGTAGTACAGGGACTCAAGAAACTTCACATCCCTTGACACTGTCAACTTCTGGGTGGTCAAGTCCCATAGCAGCCACCCCTTGTGATCCTTTGCAATCCCCAAGTGCACACCCCATCTTCCAGAAGCCTCCAACTTCCCCCTTTTCTCCTTAGGCACATGAAACACCACCATGCACCCAAATGCCCTCAGCATGTTCACAGCTGGAGCACTCCCATACCACTTGACATATGGGATCCACTCCTTATCTCCAACTGTAGCCAGCACCCTGTTCTTCACAAGGGCGACCTGCCTCAGTGCAGACACCCAAAACGGATCAGGCAGCCCTGCACGCCCAAGGAGAGTGCGTGCCCCCTCCTGCAGGGTCCTGTTGAACCTCTCAGCCACGCCATTCTGCTGCGGGTTGTAGGGCACTGTCAGTTGATGCTGGATCCCCTTCCTCTTCAACTCCCCCTCAAAATCAGCTCCAATGAACTCCCCACCATTGTCACTGCGGATCACCTTCACCTTGTATCCGCATTCCCTCTGAGCTCTAGGCATCCACTCCTTAAGGACAGCCGCTGCCACCTCCCCCTTGCTCTTCAAAGGGTAAACCCACACTGCCCGAGTGTGGTCATCCACAATTGTCAAGAAATAGCGGCTGCCTGAGAGGGAAGGCGCTCTTGTGGGCCCCACCACATCCATGTGCACAAGTGCAAGTGGGGTCTTGGCTGGTCCTGTAGTGCTGTTGAAGGGGAACTTGGAGAACTTGGTCTCCAAGCATGTAGGGCAGCTCCCAATCTCCTTCACTTCCCCTTTCACCTCCAAGCCCTTCAGGCTCCCATTCTTCACCAACTTCTGCAGCATAGGGAAGTTCACATGACACAGCCTCTCATGCCATGTCTCCCAATCGGCCTCTCCACTCCTTGATGAAGCCTTAGCCCATGCCGCACTCGCATCCACACCAGCAAGCACCTCGCCATGTGTCTGCTGCTGCTGCACTTTCTTGACTGCTTCCAGGACCCCATCAGTTGGTGCAGTTGCATCTCTTCCTGCTGTTGCCTTTGCCGCTGCTGCCGTTGCTGCTGTTGGAGTCTTCCCATTCCATGGGATGATGGGCAGCTGCCACAGGTCCTTGATGCAGCTGGTCTCCTCTTCCAGACTCCACAGCACCTTCTTCCCAAGCTTAGCACGGCAGCTGGTTGGTCCAAAGGTCACTTCGGCCTTGCTCTTCTGCAGTCGTCGCACAGAGAGAAGGTTAGCAGACAAGCCTTCAACCAGCAGAACATTCCCAAGCCCCACAAGCTCCCCATTAGCTCCCTTAACCTTGGCATTTCCAACACCAATGACAGGGAGCAAAGCACCTGACGCTGCTGCCACATACTTGATCTTCCCAGGGGGTTTTACCTCATCAAGCAAATCTGCCCGTGGGGTCATGTGACTGGTGCAACCTGAATCAATCACCCAGTGCGTGAGAGGGTGCATCACAACCTTTCCCACAGATCCCACATCACCCTCATGCCCATGCACATCCTCAACCATGAGATACATCCCAGGATAGGCGTTACCTTGTGCACCTTCACCTTGTGCACCTGAGCCTTGCACAGCGCCACCTTGTGCGCGTTCACCACTTGGCGGCTTCATGCCTGGAGGTGACCATCCCTCCAGCCTGCTGAAGCACTTGAACCAAGGATGCCCGACCTTCTTGCAGTACCAGCAGGTGCCCTCCATTCTGGTACTCCCCCTGCCACTGGAGCTCCCATGCCCCTCATTATAGTCACCTCGGCCTCTACCTCTGCCAAAGCTCCTCCCACGGCCTCGGCCTTTCCAACCCCCTCTTCCTCTGCTGCGCCCTGCAGCTCCATACCCCTCAGCAGTCTTAGTGGCAGCACCGCCTCCCACATGGCGTCTGCGGAAGTCCTCCTGCAGAATCTGCTGCCTTAGCCACTCAGGTGTCCATTGATCTTGCTGAGAGTTGAGGGTGGGGATGAGGTTGTCCCAAGAGTTGTCCAACACCGAGATGATCTTGGTGCACTGCTGCAGCCGAGATACACTGCTGCCCGCTGCTGCCATCCTTGCATAGGTGTCCTTGATCTTGTCAAGGACCGGCTTCACATCGTCCCCTGGTCGCATGGAGATGGCAGCAAGTTCCTTCTCGAGCACGATCACCATCGGGAGAGTGTTGGGCTGAACCACATCACGTAGTAGTTTCCACGCCCTTGGACCCGAATCATCCGCTTCCACAAGATCCTTGATGTGCTCGAACATCTCCTTGTTGACCGATTGAAGAATGAGGTCGAAAAGCACCGCGCTTTTCTCAATCCACCGTTCACGTGCTTCGCCTTCTTCCGGCATCTTCTCTTCCCCAACAGCAATCTTCAGGAGCTTGTAGCGTTTGAAGGCACTCCTCATCCGTCCGCTCCATTCCTCATAGTTGGAGCCATCCAAAGCTTCAACTCCGGAGGGTGGCAAACCAGTCGCACGCCACTCGGGGGGGTGGCAAACCACTCTCAAGCCTCTCTGAGGGGTGGCAAACCATTCGCACGCCACTCTCGGAGGGTGGCAAACCACTCCCACGCCACTCTCGGGGGTTGGCAAACCACTCGCACGCCACTCTGGGGGGTGGCAAACCACGCGCACGCCACTCTGGGGGGTGGCAAACCACTTCCAAGCCACTCTTGGGGGTGGCAAACCATTCGCATGCCACTATCAGGGGGTGGCAAACCAATCGCACTCCACTCTGGGGGGTGGCAAACCACTCGCACGCCAATCGGGGGGGTGGCAAACCACTTGCATGCCACCTTCGGGGGGTGGCAAACCACTCGCACGCCACTCTCAGGGGGTGGCAAACCACTCGCATGCCACTCTGGGGGGTGGCAAACCAGTTGCACGCCACTCGGGGGGGTGGCAAACCACTTGCAAGCCTCTCAGAGGGGTGGCAAACCATTCGCACGCCACTCTCGGAGGGTGGCAAACCACTCCCACGCCACTTTGGGGGGTGGCAAACCACTCCCAAGAAACTCTTGGGGGTGGCAAACCATTTGCATGCCACTATTAGGGGGTGGCAAACCACTCACGCACCACTCTCGGAGGGTGGCAAACCACTCGCACGCCAATAGGGGGGGTGGCAAACCACTTGCATGCAAACCTCGGTGGGTGGCAAACCACTCGCACGCCACTCTCAGGGGGTGGCAAACCACTCGCACGCCAGTCAGGGGGGTGGGAAACCACTCGCACGCCACTCACATGGGGTGGCAAACCACTCGCACACCACTCGAGGGGGTGGCAAACCACTCCCAAGCCACTCTGGGGGGTGGCAAACCATTCGCACGCCACTCTAGAGGGGTGGCAAACCACTCACACGCCACTCTGAGGAGTGGCAAACCACTCGCACCCCATTCGTGGGGGTGGCAAACAACTCGCACGCCACTTTGGTGGGTGGCAAACCACTCGCACGCCACTCTTCTGGTGGGTGGCAAACAACTTGCACGCCACTCTTTGGGGGTAGAAAACCACTCGCATGCCACTCTCGGGGGATGGCAAACTACTCGCACGCCACTCTGGAGGGGCGGCAAACCTCTCACACGCCACTCGGGGGGGTAGCAAACCACTCGCATGCCACTTCAGGGGTGGAAAACAAATCGCACGCCACTCGAGGGGGTGGCAAACCACTCCCGAGCCACTCTGGAGGGTGGCAAACCATTCGCACGCTACTCTCAGGGGGTGAAAAACCACTCGCACCTCACACTGCAGGGGGCAAACCACTCGAACGTCACACTGCGGGGTGGCAAACTATTCGCATGCCACTCTTGGAGGGTGGCAAACCACTCGCACGCCAATCTTGGAGGGTGGCAAACCACTCGAACACCACTCGGGGGGATGGCAAACCACTCGCACGCCACTCTCAGTGGGTGGCAAACGAGTTGCACGACACTCTAGGGGGTGGCAAACCACTCCCAACCCTCTCTAAGGGGTGGCAAACCATTCGCACGCCACTCTCAGAGGGTGGCAAACCACTCCCACGCCACTCTCGGAGGTTGGCAAACCACTCGCATGCCACTCTAGGGAGTGGAAAACCACTCGCGCGCCACTCTGGTGGGTGGCAAACCACTCCCAAGCCACTCTGGGGGGTGGCAAACTATTCGCATGCCACTATCAGGCGGTGGCAAACAACTCGCACGCCACTTTGGTGGGTAGCAAACCACTCGCACGCCACTCTTCTGGGGGGTGGCAACCCACTCGCACGCCAATCTGGGGGCTGGCAAACCTCTCACATCCCACCCTCGGGGGGTGGCAAACCACTCGCACGCCATTCTCAGGGGGTGGCAAACCACTCGCATGCCACTCTGGGGGGTGGCAAACCACTCGCATGCCAATAGGGGGGATGGGAAACCACTCGCACGCCACTCTTGGGGGGTGGCAAACCACTCGCACACCACTCGGGGGGTGGCAAACCACTCGCACCCCACTAATGGGGGTGGCAAACAACTCGCATGCCACTTTGGTGGGTGGCAAACCGCTCACATGCCACTCTTCTGGGGGGTGGCAAACCACTCGCACGCCACTCTTGGGAGGTGGCAAACCACTCGCATGCCACTCTCAGGGGGTGGCAAACCACTCGCATGCCACTCTCGGGGGGTGGCAAACCACTTGCATGCCACTCTAGGGGGTGGCAAACCTCTCGCACGCCACTCGGAGGGGTGGCAAACCACTCGCACGCCACTTCGGGGGTGGCAAACAAATCGCACACCAGTCGGGGGGGTAAAAGACCAATCGCACATCACACTGCGGGGTCACAAACCACTCGTACGTCACACTGCAGGGTGGCAAACTATTCGCACGCCACTCTCGGAGGGTGGCAAACCACTAGCACGCCAATCTTGGAGGGTGGCAAATCACTGACACGCCACTTTCAGGGGGTGGCAAATAACGTACACGCCACTCTTGGGGGGTGGCAAACCACTCGCACGCCACTCTCATGGGGTGGCAAACCACTCGCACGCTATTCTCAGGGGGTGGCAAACCACTCGCATGCCACTCTCGGGGGGTGGCAAACCACTCGCACACCACTTTGAGGGGTGGCAAACCTCTTGCCCACCACTCAGGGGGGTGGCAAACAAATTGCACGCCACTCGGGGGGGTGGCAAACCACTCCCAAGCCATTCTGGAGGGTGGCAAATCATTCGCACGCCACTCTCAAGGGGTGAAAAACCATTTGCACGTCACATTGCTGGGTGGCAAACAACTTGCACGCCAATCTTGGAGGGTGGCAAACCACTCAAATGCCACTCGGGGGATGGCAAACCACTCGCACGCCACTCTCGGTGGGTGGCAAACCAGTTGCACGCCACTTGGGGGGGTGGCAAACCACTCCCAAGCCTCTCTGAGGGGTGGCAAACCATTCGCACGGCACTCTCGGAGGGTGGCAAACCACTCCCACGCCACTCTCGGGGGTTTACACAACACTCGCATGCCACTCTGGGGAGTGGCAAACCCCTCGCACGCCACTCTAGGGGGTGGCAAACCACTCCCAAGCCACTCTGGGTGGTGGCAAAACATTCGCAAACCACTCTCAGGGGGTGGCAAACCACTCCCAAGCCACTCTGGGGGGTGGCAAACCATTCGCATGCCACTATCAGGCGGTGGCAAACAACTCGCACGCCACTTTGGTGGGTAGCAAACCACTCGCACGCCACTCTTCTGGGGGGTGGCAACCCACTCGCACGCCAATCTGGGGGCTGGCAAACCTCTCACATCCCACCGTCAGGGGGTGGCAAACCACTCGCACGCCATTTTCAGGGGGTGGCAAACCACTCGCATGCCACTCTGGGGGGTGGCAAACCACTCGCATGCCAATCGGGGGGATGGGAAACCACTCGCACGCCACTCTTGGGGGGTGGCAAACCACTCGAACACCACTCCGGGGGGTGGCAAACCACTTGCACCCCACTCGGTGGGGTGGCACACCACTCCCTAGCCACTCTGGGGGTTGGCAAACCACTCGCACACCACTGTCAGGGGGCGGCAAACCACTCGCACGCCACTCTCGGGGCGTGGCAAACCACTCGCAAGCCACTCTGGGGGGTGGCAACCCTCTCGCACGCCACTCGGGAGGGTGGCAAACCACTCGCACACCACTTGGGGGGTGGCAAATTACTCGCACGCCACTCGAGGGGGTGCCAAACCACTCCCAAGCCACTCTGAGGGGTGGCAAACCATTCGCACGCCACTCTCGGGGGGTGGAAAACCACTCGCACGTCACACTGCGGGGTGGCAAACCACTTGCACGTCACACTGCGGGGTGGCAAACAACTCGCACATCACACTGCGGGGTGGCAAAACACTCGCACGCCACTCTTGGAGGGTGGCAATCAACTTGCACGCCAACCTTGGAGGGTGGCAAACTACTCGCACACCACTCGGGGGGGTGGCAAACCACTGGCACGCCACTTTCAATCGGTGGCAAACCAGTCGCACGCCACTTTCAGTGGTTGGCAAACCAGTCGCATGCCACTCGCGGGGGTGGGAAACCACTCCCAAGCCTCTCTGAGGGGTGGCAAACCATTCGCACGCCAGTCTCCCAGTGTGGCAAACCACTCCCACGCCACTTTGGGGGGTGGCAAACCTCTCGCACGCCACTTTGGGGGGTGGCAAACCTCTCGCACGCAACTCTTGGAGGGTGGCAAACCACTCGCACGTCACACTGCGGGATGGCAAACTACTCGCACGTCACACTGCGGGATGGCAAACTATTCGCACACCACTCTTGGAGGGTGGCAAACCACTCGGACGCCAATCTTAGAGGGTGGCAAACCACTCGAATGCCACTTGGGGGGATGGCAAACCAC